CCCCAAAACCCCAAAACCCCTCAATTACAAGAGTTGAGATAGTCTTCATATTAAAAAATTAAGATTAATTAGCACTTTATTAAATTAGTGATGCATCCAAATCATTCTTCTATCTTTTATTTCTTCATTCTACTCTTGTCTTCAAACTCATCATAGATCTAGTCTTTGCTTTCCTCTTCACTTTTATTCTCGTGTTAAACCTTACTAAATGCAACTTCGAATGGAACTCTGAAGCTGGTTCCATACATGTGAGATTAAGGAGAGACGTCTCTAATGTTATGGAAGTGGAGGACATCTTTTTCTGAAAACTCAGGGTAATTCATTGCTTTGCCAATTCTCTCCACGAAATAGGCAAGTGCCTTATCTTTATCAGAGAAGTAAGAAAAGCCATAAACATGCACCATTGGTAATAAAAAGGTCTTTTGATCATTTGTTTCATTTGAGGACCATATTTTGTAATTAGCATCATTGAATAAGCCTACAAAAGCATCTAAGAACTCTACAGCATCAACTGGTAGATTCATGTAGCAGTGATCAAATCTCAGCATTTCCTTAGGTATCTCCTTCTAGGCTGGGTCATTTGATTTCCTAACAGCCATCCTTACGAATTCTCTAGCATCCATGTTAAATGGTACAACGAGATTCTTTACTTTATTCATCCTAATATTTTCTTTGAGGAATTCAAAGCACGCAGGATTGAGATCATTAGCAATAGCCTTGACCTTCTTTTTTACTGCAGCTTTTACAGCTAATGGACCAATACCACAAAACATATCACAAAGCACGTCTCCCTCTTTTAAGATAGTATCGATCATTCTGTTTCTTTCATGGCCTAATTTTGAGCACCAATACACTTTGGAGACATCAACCTTATATCTTACTTTATCTTCTAAAACAATTGTTTCATAGGTGGAAGAATCTCCTGCGATACATTCCAAGTCATAGAATCTGTAAGTGCTCTCTATTTAACCTATTTTAGTCACTACTGTTCTAAGTGAAGGATTTTTATCCAAAACTACCTGGCCTATAACATATCTGTGGTCAAATAGCTTTCCCATGAGATTCATGTGAGCAACATCTCCCACTGTTTCATAGCCAGAGGGTACTTCTCCTACATCAGGTGGAAGTAGTTCTTTAAGTACCTCGTCTAAATAAACGAATTTAGAATATTAATATAATTACTCATTGACAAATTTTAATATGTTAGCTAAACTTTTTCCTCAGAGTACTCATATTCCTTTTCATTCACATATTTATCAATTGCTTCTGATTTTCTTGCTATTAAAACCTTCTTTTTATCTTGAGATCCTTCAATAGCTAGCACAGTCTTAAGTTTAGGAACTTAGATCAAGTTATTATAAAAGGCTTTCTGGAAAGCTGATATTTCTCTAACTGGCAAGATGACAGCAGGGTAAGTCACATCACGATCAAATCTATTTATTAATCTCATTTTAATCTTTACTATCTTACTTTGACTAATCAACTTTATATTTCTTGATTATATGTTAATTGGTTGATTCCATAGTATAAAGTTACTTTTTATTGTGATTAATAATAGTTTATTATTTAAGGTGTTGCGAAGCAAAGTTGTAAAATCTAGTTGGAGTAGTGGTACTCTTTTATTTGATAGAATATATTAATTTTTAAAACATATTTAAATTAAACCCAGCCAATCCAAGAATAATTTATGTTTATTGCATGCTGGGGTTTTGGGGTTTTGGGGTTTTGGGG